GAGCCAGACTTCGGACCAGTGCAACATCAGAATCTGACCTCCCAGGAGTTGCATCCCAAGGTCTCGCGGCCCTGGCCAGGACGTGCGACCCCCACTGGCTGGCCCTCAAAGCCCTCCTCGACATTGGCCGGGGCGCAGAGTCCAGTGGGACACGCTGGCACGGTGCACTCCCATCGAAGACCCACGCCCGACCAGAACAGACAGCACACAATGGCAACGCATTAAGGATGGCGGTGGAGAGATACCGTGCGACATCGATGTCCGGAAAGCACGCTGTCCGTGTGAGGCGATTAACCTTAAGTCGGGCCTGTCCCCCTACATGGGGATTTTCCACGAAAAATAAAAACAAATACCCCAAAATTTGTCAAAAAAAATCCAAAAATGGTCTGGGGACTATTTCTGGTGTATCGTTTGACCTTTTTGGGGCATGCTTGGGGGTATTTTCTATTCTTCGTCGAAAAAATGCCCCTGCAGGGGGACAGGCCCGACTTAAGATGAAACCCCCAAAGGGCCACCTCAGGGCAGCGCCATCCCGGCCAAGGGGGAGGGTGGGGTTCACTTTGCTCGGGAGCTCCCGAGCAAAGTGAACACCCCCCCCTCAGAAATCGCGGGGGCTAGGGGTAGGGCTCGCCTCTGGCCCCCTTAGTGAGGCGATGGGCCCCCAAGAGGACCCCTTCAGGGCAGCGCCACCCCGCCGCCAGGGCGTCTCCGGCGAGCGAAAAGCGGGCCGGCGGCGCCCCGCCGCAGGCGCTCTGCCTGCCCGAGGCCAGCCGTACCCTGCCCTGGCGTCCGGGATATGCGTGACCAAAGGGCGCCCGCCACGGACACTATGTCGGGTCGGGCGAACCGGGGGGATAGCAAAGGGGGGGGGACTGTCCCCCAAATTTGTCAACAATAATCCAAAAATGGTCTGGGGACTATGTCTGGTGCATTGCTTGAACTTTTTGGGGCATGTTTGGGGTATTGTTTATTCTTCGTCGAAAGAATCCCCCTGTAGGGGGACAGGCCCGACTTAAGATGAACCCCCCAAAGGGGCACCTCAGGGCAGCGCCACCCCGCCGCCAGGGCGTCTTCGGCGAGCGCAGCGGGCCAGCGGAGCCCCCCGCCGCACGCGCTCTGTCTGCCCGAGGCCAGGCGTATCGTGCCCTGGCGTCCGGGATATGCGTGACCAGAGGGCGCCCGCCGCGGACACTATCAGGCGGCGAGCCAGGGGGGAAGTGAGGAGGGGCGCGCCTTCTCAGAAGGCTCGGAAGCGGGCGGGGCGCGGGGGCGCTTGTGCAAAAGGTGTCGTGGAGCCCGTCTTGGGGCACCTACTCAAAATGTTGTACAGTCGAGGCGTTGACCTAAGGAACCCCAAATAAGGAACGAGGCCCCTGTTTTCCCAGAAGTTACACGTCGATCTCCCGTGGGAAACCTCAAGAGAACCTGAGGCAAGCTGTAGAACAAGCAAGGAACACCGAGCCCCTCCCCAACGAAAAGGGTTCCTTCTTCAGCGCCCCGACTGTATGTCGGGTCGGGCGAAACGGGGGGATAGCCAAGGGGGGGGCTGAGAATCAGCTCACGCGGCTGATCTTCCCGGCGCCTCCCGGCGCCGGGAGGCGCCCGTGTATCGAGGAACGGGCACCCCGGTGGGGCCGAAACCAGCTGCATGCAGCAGATTTCGTTCTCCCAATCCCCCCCTTTCGCCCGACCCGAATTATGCCGAAAAGATGTTCCAGTGTGCGCGTCGCCGCTGCGGGACGGACGCACGGGATGTCGATCCCCGAGATCAGCAGGCCGATCGCTCCCTGGTGGGCGCTCCCCCACACGCAACTCACGCCGCCGTGCCCCTCAGCGACCCGAAGCGGGCGGGGCGCGGGGGCGCTTGTGCAAAAGGTGTCCTGGGGCCCCTCTTGGGGCACCTACTCAAAATGTTTTTGTACAGTCGGGGCGTTGACCTAAGGAACCCTACACAAGGGACGAGGCCCCTCCTTCCCAATAAGTCAAACTTCGGTTCCCCATCGAAAACCTTGGGAAAACCTGAGGCAAGCTGTGAAACAATCAAGGAACACGGAGCCCCTCCCCAACGAAAAGGGTTCCTTTTTCAGGACCCCTACTGTAATAAATGGGAGGGGGTCACAACCCTCCCAAAGGGGCAGTCTCAGACACCCCCCAGAACAGCCATGAACGGGCGGCCTTCTGCCCCGAGCCCACTGGAAGCCTCCACGAGAGCTCAAGTCGGAACCCCCAAACATCAAACCACCTCCCCTTGTTGTGAAATCCGCGGTAACTTCGCGCACCGCGTCCAATCACGCGCGACGCGCGGTTGGACATCTTCGCGCCATCGCCCCATATGGCGACGACACCTACACCATCTATACACATCCACCCCGTCCCCGGCCAGGCCCTTCATGGGCCCAGGATCGGTGTGTATATCTATATCTATATATATATATAGAAATATACAGATACACACATACAGATGGGAAAAACTGAAGAATACAAGACAAAACAACAAAAAAACGCTGAGGTTCTAGCCGCGCCCAAGGAACTCGCATCGCAAGTTGCCAATGTGGATGCAGGGGCGATTCTCGAGATCCTTCGGGGGTGGTCGAGGAAGCCGCGGCAATTAACCTTGGGGATCCCCAGGACGTGTCGGGAAGTCCTGGGGCTTATTCGGCGTTTCTTGCGCTTCTTTGGATCTACTGGAGGACCAGAGGAGGAGGAGGAGGAGGAGGAGGAGGAGGAGGAGGAGCTGAGCGACGAAGTACTGTGCTTGAGTCTGGATCCGAAGTACACGCCACCACGGCCACACCATGGAGTATCGAACGCCGCCCCCTCCCTTTCTGGCCGCGCATCTGGGGCCAAGCCGAGGGGCAGCGAAGTCAAGAAGACCCCTCTGGGTCGCAGCGGCAGGGCCTCCGATCCCAGGACTCGGGCTTCCCCGGAGAGCATTATGGAAGGGCTTCCGCGCCCTCCCGCCGTTCGGGCGCCTCTTGGAGGAGGAGGAGGAGGAGGAGGAGGAGGAAGAGGAGGAGGAAGAGGAGGACGAGGAGGAGGAGGGAGGGAGGAGGAGGAGGAGGAGGGAGGGAGGAGGAGGAGGAGGAGGAGGAGGAGGAGGAGGAGGAGAAGGGGAATGAGGAGGGGGCCTCTTGGGCGCCTGCTGGGAATGCGGCATCGGGGGCCTTCGACGTCCGATGTTGGAGCCGTCGTGGGAGCAGCCTGGGCCATCTCGCCCCTTCGGCTGTCAATGGAGCTCTCTTGGGGCTGCGCTGGGGCCATCATGGGCCCATCTTGGGCCGCCTTGGGGTCCTCTTGAATATCTTGAGCCGCGTTCGTGGGCCCGTGTTGGGCGTCTTAAGCCCATCGTGGGCCCTGCTGGGCCTCGTTGGGGCCGTCCAGGGGCGAGCTCGGAGGCCGTTGGGGCCGTCTGGGGGGCGCACGGCTCTCGAAGCCCGCTCGATCTCCTCCTTGTGGACCCCTGTTCGGGGCAGCCTTGGAAGCTTCTTGGGGTCATGTTGGGGGGCGTCGTCGGCCGTCATTGGGCCCCCCCCCTCCCCCCCCCCTCCCTCCTCCTCCTCCCCCCTCCCCCTCTTCCCCCCTCCTCTCCCCCTCCCCCCCCTCCCTCCTCCCTCCTCCCCCTCCACAAGTACTCAATATGAATACTACTCTCCCTCGTACCCATGACGTCTTGGGAGTGTTCGCCCCCCCCCCCGCGTACTGTTTTTTTATACACAGGTTTCCCCGGAGTTGGGTTTTCGCCTGCATTTGTTTCCAAAATGCTGCTCTCGCTGAGGCGCCGACCTCATTTTCGGGCCCCGCTCGTTCCGAATCGTGCTCCCGCTGCAGCGCTGGCATCATTTCCGCCGGCGCCCGGGCTGCACGCCAGAGCCGGCGCCCGGGCCGGCGCTCGGGCCGGCGCTCGGGCCAGGTCCGGAGCCGGTTCCGGCCGGCGCCGGAAAATCGAGTTCCGAGGCGGCGCCGAAAACAGGACATTCTAATACACATTTTTCTGCTGAAACTGCTAAATTTCTGCTTCTGGCGCCCGGGAGGCCTCCCGGGCCGATTCCGGCGTGCTTCCGCTCGTTCCGAATCGTGCTCCCGCTGCAGCGTTGGCCTCATTTCCGCGCTTCCGCTCGTTTCGACTCGTGCTCCCGCTGCAGCGCTGGCGTCATTTCCCGTGCCATGCCACGGCATGCAATGCAATGCTAGGTTGATACTACGCTTCGCGGTGCTCTTCTACACCATGCCACGCCGTGCTCTTCAATGCATCGCGTACCCTTTCGGGATCATTGCCCTGCTCGACATCCGACTGTGCGAGTAGAGAGGGGATCTGCGCCATGGTAAGTGATGGGAGGGAGGGGTAGGATGTCAGATATGACGTAAGCGCACCTAATTTGCCCCCCCCCTCCCTCCCCCTCCTCCCCCCTCCCCCCCTTCCCCTCCCCCCCTCCCCCTCCCCTTCCCCTCCCCCCCCTCCTTGGGGAGGGGGGGGGAGGGAGGGAGGGGGGGGGGGCCGTTGGGCCGTCTTGACGCACTCTTGGAGCCTGGCCCTTCTCTGGCGATCCTGGCGGCGCCTCCCAGACTTGCACTCCGCTGGCGGGCACCGTGGCCAGCGGCCTGTGGCGCACCCGACCCTTCCCGAGGCGGGCAGTGCTGCAGTGCCCGAGAGAGGCCCTATATAAATGTGAAGATCGGCGTGATTCCAATGTGCCCGTCAGAGCCGATCGGACGTTGCCGAATGGTGGGACGAGGAGTGGGGGGTTCGGGGGAGGGGGGGGGGGAGAAACGTGCCCTTTCGTGCCCCTGTTTGGGCCCCAGGGGGGCCCCCGTATGGCCCCTTTTTGGGCACACGAGGTGCACCTTTCTTCACACCCCTATCTTCTTGCCCCCGCATTGCGCAACGCCCGGGCTGACCTCCTCTTCACGGCGACTTCCAGGGGGCTGGACCTCTCGTCGCGCTCGGAAAGAATAGCGCAAGGCCCCGGCCAACGCGTGCGGGGAGCCCGCCGCAGCGGGTCCAGGTCGGAACCCGAGCTGGACGAGGCGGCGGACGAGGCGTCGTTGCTCTCCCTGCGGGCGCCTCCCGTGCGCGACGCGACGGGCACGGCTCAAGGTAGGACGAGAATGATGTCATGGTGCGACTGCCGCGCATTTGTTGGATCTGCGGCGCCTCCCATCCAGGTTGCGGTCGAACATGTAACAGGGATGCTTTTGAGAGACACAAGCACAAAGGCGACAGGAACGGCGGGAGGAACGGGGGCAGAGGGTCAACTGGCACGCGCTGAGAGCCCACCCCCACCCTCAGGTAGCACCGGCTGGACTCCACAGACCCCCCGGAGTACAGTGGAGGCCCGACCACAAGAAACCTTCCAGACTGGAGGACGTACATCGATTTGGGAACGTCACGCCTTCCACAGCAAAACCATCGACACCCAAGAAACCAAGGGCACCCTGGAGGCAAGCAGGGTGTTGCTTGGCATGGATCTCCACTGTACCCATTTCTGTCATTTCTGGCCTCAGGGGGCCCTGACCAGGACCGCCCAGTTACACCCTGGCCGCAGGAGGCCCTGCAGAGCTCCCTCGAGCAATACGACAGACAAACGATACGATATACTGCACTGTGCGGGCGGGAGACCACACGAGGGACCACACGGGAGATCATGCGGGAGACCACGCGGGGAGTCCATGCAAAAGGTCATATGGGAGACCGTGCGGGATAGATAGATAGATAGACAGCGCATGCGAGAGACCATACGGGAGACCACTGTAGTCCCAGCTGGCTCCAGCGGGCCCCCCGAGCAGCCCCGAGCGATCTCAGCACTGCCGAGGCCAGCTGGGGCTGCTCCAGGGTCCCGCAGAAGCCTGCTGAAGCTACCTGCACTTGAGTAGGAGGAGGAGGAGGAGGAGGAGGAGGAGGAGGAGGAGGAGGAGGAGGAGGGGAGGGAGCAGGAGGAGAGGGAGGAGAAGGAGGGGGAGGAGGAGGAGGGGGAGGAGGGAGGAGGGGGAGGAGGGAGAGGAGAAGGAGGGCGAGGAGAAGAAGGGGGAGGCCTGCTGGAACTGCCTGTGCTGTGGGGGCGCTGCCTGCGCGCAGTCCGAAGCCTTGATGGAGGCGCTGGGGACTCAGGATGCGTTCTGGGAGCTCCGGAACGCATCTGGCGGTCCTCGCGCCTGCCGGCCGTGGTGGAGCATCCCGGGAGCCTCGCGTGTCTTCGGAAAAACAAAACACGCCATGAACAGAAACTTTTGGCGCTCCGCGCGGATTTTTCTCGGACCTGCGCTTCGACCCCCCTTTCCCTGTCGCGCGGGGCGCGCCAGGGGCGGCGCCGGAGGCGCCGCCGTGGGGGCCCAGCGCGGATCGAAGACATCCGCGCGGAGCGCCAAAGATTATGGTTACCCTGACCTTTCAGGAGGGCTTAAAAATAGCACCCGACGTAAAAACCTATCCCAAAGCTATTCTACGTCCTGATTTTGGGCTGTTTCGCTCAGCTGTTTAGGTTTTTGGGTTTCCAGTGCTAAAAAAAAACTCTCTGGAAGGTCAGGGTATGGCGTTTTGTCTACTTCGAGTCTCTTGGGCACCTCCTGGGGCGCAGCGCTGCCGTGGCCCTCGGCGGCGGCGAGTCCCCCTGGAGAGGCAGACGGGGCGAGCCCTCCCGGCGGGCTCGGACGAGCCCGCGGGCCCTCCGAGGAGTCCCCAGGCGAGGCCCTCCTCGGGGGCACAGGGGGCGGCCTCTCCGCGGGCGCGGGGGCTCCCGAGATGACGAACCAGCAACACACACACACACACATTCATCTCCGCAGGGGGGTCGGAGAGGGCGATGGGTGCGTGTTGTCGGATGGAGGTCCCCGCTCGAACGGGAGCGTTCCCCAGGGTCCGACAACCCGCACCCATACCCATAGCCAGTCCTCCTCTCCCAACGACCCCCCATTTGGGTATGGGTGTGTGTTGCTCGTTCGTCACGAGAAGCCCCGCCGCCCTCGGAGAGGCCCCGCCGCCTTCTGTCGGGCGCTGGCAGCACTGGGTTCCGTGGAACCCGGCTTCGTGATGTCTGCTGGGGGACGCCGCCCCCGCCCCGTTCCACCAACCGGAACTGCCGTCACCCGAAACACGCCAACCGCGGCAGACCTGGTGCAGTGACTCTGGCAAAGCTGGGGGCTCCGGGGCCCTACTACTAAGCGGGTCCCCTTACCTGGGGTCCTGGCTATACCCGATTCGCCGCCGAAGGACCCCCACTGCTCCTCTTTGGACGCCCGAACTGGGTACGGAAAGAATGCGTACAATGCCCAACAACACATGTTGTCCAAAACAAACAGCGGCCGCTGTTGGGCAGGCGGCCTCGTCTTCAGTGGACACAGGCCGCGGCGACGCCGACAATGAGTCCTGCTCAAAACGAGCAGGGACTGCTGTTGGTCTTTGTATAAATCCTTTACGTACCCAACCCGCGACCCACCCGCGACCCATTTGCAACCCACACGCGACCCACCCGCGACCTACCCACGTTGGTCTGACGAAAAAATCGGCGCCCGCGGCGGACTCGTTGTATGATTTGTGAAACTTTGGCGCCTGCGGCGGGCTTCTCCATCGCAGACTGCCGACGTCCCCACCGCCCCCCCACTCTTCTCCGCGTCAGCGGGGTGCTGCGGTATGTATTCTTTCCGTACCCACTTCGATCGTCCCGATCCCCCGAGGATCGGGGATCTTCTGACCCGGGTCAATCCAGACCCGGGGCAGCAGGAAACCAAAAAATGCAATGCAGGAAGAAAAAAAACTGCAACGCAGGCCCTCGCAAACACGGGTCCGCCAAGACGCGCGGCCGCCCCGCGGCCACGAGCGGCTCGCTGACCCGGGCCAGCCAGAGGGAATCGTCGCAGGACCCTGCAGCATCCGGCGCCCTGGCTGACCCCCGTTTGCAGCGACCCCCGCCTCGAGGCTCCCGAGAGGCTGGGCATCGCTCGGACGTCCATTCCCTGTGCTTTGTTCGGTTTCGTGCGTGTTTTTTTCGCCAAGTGATCAAGGATGCTCCTCGATGGTCCTCGCCGAAGGACAAATGCACACGCCCGAGCGATGCCAAGCGCCTCGAGGCTCCCGACGAGGAGCCCTCGAGGGCCCACCCTGCGGGCGGGGCCCCCCCTGCCGCCGCGCGCGCCGCGCCCTCGCGGGACCCCTCCCCCCCTCGGGGGCCGCCCCCCGGCCACGCCTGGGGGCGAGGCGGGGGGGGGGGAGACGTCACCAGGAAAGCTGCGGACGATGAAGTCATCGGCCTGATCTGAGGAACGAGAAGCGAGGAACGACGACCACGACGACGACGACCACCGCCACCACGACGACGACCACCACGACGACGGCGGCGGCGGCGGCGACGGCGGCGATGACGGCGACGGCGACGGCGACGGCGGCGGGCCGCGATGCCCAGCAGAGAGGTGCAGAACGCCAAATGCACAGCGAAGCCACGGTCTGGCGCCAGCAGCGCCCGGGTGTGAAGAGCCAGAGCCACGGAAGTACCCAAGGCACAGCGAGCCCCACGCGCCCAGCCGCTGACGTGGCCACGCCCCGCCCCCGTCCGCGAGGCCAGCCTCGCGGTACGAGCGGCGCTCGGGCAACGCACTCGAAACCCGGCGCTGCCGTCGTCGGGATGCGAGCGTTTCCTTATTCGGCGTCTCGACATTTGGCAGAAGCGAGGGGTGGAGGGAGGGGTTCTGGCTCCGGAGCTCTGCCTGGTGCGACTGTTTGCAACCGTGTGTTCCCGCCTGAGGCCCCGCCTGCCTGTGCCCTGTCTCCCTAATTAAAGCTGTGCGTAGCCCGCCCAGCTTTTAGCGGAAGAGGTTCGCTCTCGTCCCGCCGACCCCCCCCCCCCAAAAAAAAAACTGTTTGCAACCGTGCGTCCTGGGGGAGACTCCACCTGCCTGAAACAGGCGCCCAAACACAGCCAAGATCTACTCCATGGAGGTGGGGGAGGGGGAAGGGTGCGAGGGCCCGCGCCGATCGGCTAAACAAGGAATGGAAAGAGTGTTTACGTGGCCCCTCAAAGACGTGGACCCCTGCTGGGGGACCCGCTTTGCATCCCGAGCCGTCTATTGACGGTCCCAGGGCCTGGCGAGGGCCCCCAGAAAAAAAAATAAGAAATAAAAAAGAAGAAAAAAAAAAAAAAAAAGAAAAATAAAAAAAAAGAAAGAAAAAAATCAAAAAAAAAAAAAAAAAAAACTAAGTAAAAAAAAAAAAACAGGAAGAAAAAAAAAAGAAAAAAAAAGGGAAAACAAAAAAAAAATAAAAGGGAAAAAAAAAAAATACAAAAAAAAAAAGAAGAGAGGCCCGGGGCATGGGAAGCCGACAACTCCCGTCATGACTGCTGCACGACGCGCCCCTCGCGGCGTGTACCAAATGGCCACGCGACGCGAGGGTCAAGTCGCGTCGTGTCTTGTACCAGGTGGTACTCCAGATTTCGTAATACAAAAGGAGGGGGTCTGGACCCCTCCAAGCCAAGCCATTTCAGACCTCCCCCGTGGGAGAACCCTCCAAAACCTCGTCCCCAGACCCCCCAGGCCCTCCAAGATAGCCTGGAAGAGACCCCCCCCCGAAATGAGACCCCCCTCCCTTTATTACAAAATCTGGAGTACCAAGACCCCCCTCGCGTCTCGGAAGGAGTGCGTGTACCAGGCTGGGTGCACGCACTGCTTCACCTCGATCCCCGCTCGAAGGGCCAGGATCGTCTCCTTGGAGGGGCCACCTCGGGCAGCCCCGCCAAACGAGAGTGCGCCTCTGGGCGCGAGCGGAAGGTCCTCCTTCGAAGGAACTTCGTTGGAGGGCCATCGAGAAGAAACAGAGCAAGGAGCCTGGCGAAGGACCCCACCATATGCAGCTGCGAATCACTCGGGATACTGTGGGGGCCCGACCACAAGGAACCCTCCACAAGAAGCCCAACCCTGAGACCCCAGGACGGTCATTGATTTTTGGTGGGAACGTCACGCTTTCGACAGCACAGGCATCGAAACCCAAGAAACCCAGGTCACCCTGGAGGCAACCAGGGTGTTTCTTGGCATGGCCGCCGGACCACGAAACGTGTGAGAGGTGCGCCGTAGTGGTTGGGGGGAGACGCATGCAGACGGTTCCGACGAGGCCTTAGGCAGAGCTCCCAATGAAGCCACGAAACGTGCGAGCGGGCGCAATCATGGGCGGGGGGGACGCATGTGAACGTCAACACTAGGTCCTTAGGCGGAGCCCCCTATGGGGCCACGAACCATGTGAGGGGTGTGCCGTAATCGGTGGGGAAACGCGTGCGAACGCTGCTATTCGGGCATTCGGTGGAGCTCCCTATGGGGCCACGGAGCGTGTACAAGGTGCGCCGAAATGGGCAAAAAAAACAGACAAAAAAAAAAAAAAAAAAAAACACAAAAAAAAAAAAAAAAAAATAAAACAAAATGAAGAAAAAAAAAAAAAAAAAAAAAAAAACCACAAAGAAAAAATAAAAAACAAAAAAAAAAAAATAAAAAACCAAAAAAAAAAAAAAAAAAAAAACAAAAAAGAGAAAAAAAAATAAAAAAAAGATAAAAAAGAGAAAAAGAAAAAAAAAGCAGAAGAATAAAATAAATAAATAAAAGATAAAAAAGGGCACAAGATGGAGAGAGAATAGACAGGAAACAAAAGTAAAAGATGCACGAAAAAAAAACCAAAAAAAAAGAAAAAAAAAAAAAGAAAACTTTCATGCGAACCCTACCGCTAGGGCCTTCGTGGAGCTCCTCATGTGGCCACGAAGCGTGTGCGGAGAGTGCCAGAATGGGCGGCGAACGCATGCGAACGCAGCCGGTGGGCCTTCGTTTGAGCTCACTGTGGCGCCACGAAACGTGTGATGGGATGTGCCGAAATGGGCGGGGAACCGCATGCGAACGCAGCCGCTGGAGCATTCGATGGAGCTCCCACATGGGACCACGAAACGTGTGCAGAGTGCCGAAATGGGCGGCGAACGCACGCGAACGCAGCCGCTGGATCCTTCGAAGGAGGTCCTCATGGGCCACGAAACGTGTGAAAGGTGTGCCGGCATGGGCGGGGAACCGCATTCGAACGCAGCCGCTGGGGCCTTCGGTGGAGCCCCGTAGAAGGGGTGTGCCGGTATGGGCGTGGAACCGCATGCGCACGCAGCCACATGGCCTTCGGTGGAGATCCTATAGAGCCACCATGTGTCGTGCGGCATGGCTCGCGAGCGCACTCGAAGGTCCTTCGAAGGCCTTCGACAAGCCAGGCTCTGCCACCTCGCGCAGGCCCCCCACAGCGAGAGATGGGCGCCTCCGGGCGCGAGCGAAGGGCATTCGCCCGAGGGCAATCGAGGTCGCGGCAAACTCAAAAGCCGAGCCGGCGTGGCCTGCGACCGAGGCGACGTGCCGCGAGCAGGGCGGGGCCTCCGTGTGCGCAGGGCGGCAAGAGCAGAGGCCGCAGAGATGGGGTCCCGGACGGGGTCGGAGGACCGCGCCGCATCGCCGATGCAGCGGCGACGCCTCGGCCATGCATCGGCGATGCATCGACGACGTCCGCGCGGAGAAGATGGGGCACCACGTCGAGCCGCATCGCCGACACTCCGGCGATGCGGCGCCATCCTCCGGCCTCCCTCTCGGCGGTGGACAAACCTCACTTTAGTACACCTCCCCTTAGTGAAAACAGCCTGGGACCGAAACCGACGGACCTGGACCCGCTAAGATGACGGCCGCGACGCCCTCCTGCGAACTGAAAGCGGCCAATTCCTTAATCGACGTGTCAGGGTAGGAGGTCTGTCAATCCCCGATTGTAAACATGACTACCTACCAGACCACCCCAACCCAACCCGAAGACCCGAATTTGGCCCGAATTTCGGTTGGGGGGGGTACGGGTCCCATGTGTTTTTACAATGTTCCCCGACCCCCCCCCCCCTGGAAATGGAGGGCAAGTTGAAGCCTTCGGGTTGGGTTGGGGTCTATCCACCTCCGACCCTCTACTCCGACCCCAACCAGGAGGCCCAGGAGGGGGCGGTGGGCGCCTCCGAGGGACGTGGAGCAGTCGGACGACACCTCCGCGCGGCGACCCCCTCCCCCGGGACACCGCCGCGCGGGAGGGCGGGGCGCCGAGGAAGTCCCCCCGGAGGGCGCCAGAGGCCGAGCGTCGGAGAGGCTCGGAGGCGAGGGCCCTCTGAGGGGTGCGGCCCCGAGAGCAGGGAAGGGCTCCTCCTCCTCCTCCTCCTCCTCCTCCTCACTCCTCCTCCTCCTCCCCTCCTTCCTCACTCTCCTCCTCCTCCTGCCTCGCTCCTCCTCCTCCTCCTCCTCCTCCTCCTCCTCCTCCTCCTCCTCCTCCTCCCTCCCCTCCTCCTCCTCCTCCTCCTCCTCCTCCTCCTCCTCCTCCCCCCCCCCTCCCCCCCTCCTCCCCTCCCCCTCCCCCCCCTCCTCCTCCTCCTCCTTCCTCCTCCTCCTCCTCCTCCTCCTCCTCCTCCTCCTCCTTCCTCCTCCTCATCCTCCTCCTCCTCCTCCTCCTCCTCCTCCTCCTCCGCCTCCCCAGCTGAGCTGTGGGTGACCCAAAGGGGGGTCCAGCTGACAAGGGGTGGTGCAATAGATTTGGGGCAACTGCATTGCAAATGCACTTCGCCGGAGAATTGTACTGCATTGTGTTGCAAGCAACGTACTGCGAGCGAAGATGCAGCAATACATTTGCGCCCCGGAGTGAATGGCACGCCCCGAATGTACTGCAACCCCACAAGTCTATTGCACCAAATCTACTGCACCAACCCCTGGTCGCTGGACCCCGTTTGGGGTCAAACCGATGAGCTTCCACTGCTCGAGCAGAGGGAGAAGCAGCTGCACGGGCAGGAGCTTCCGGAGGTCTGGTCGGCCTTCTTGGATCGACGCTGGTCGGGCAGGTGCTGATATGACGTCGGGCAGTTCCTCCTAGAGGCGGATCTTGGGCGAGAAACGAAAACATTCAAAACATACTCAAAAATAGTCCGACGATAATCAAAAGATCCTCCCCAAACTATATCTTCACTATTCTTGAACATTCCTCCTGTGGAGGGGCATGTCCGACCCAATGTTCACACGGGGTGGCTCAAGCGCGGGGGGGAAGGAAAGGGCCCCGGAGGGGCCCCAAAGCGGGCCCCCTCTGGGGCCCATCTCTTCACCCCCCATTTGGACCACCCTCCACTTAGAGGCCTCCTAGATGGGGTCGGAGTGGATGGGGTCGGAGGATCACGCCGCATCGTCGATACATCGGCGACGCATCGGCGATGCGTCGGCGATGTTTCAGCGATGCATCGGCGATGCACAGGCGATGCATCGGCGATGCACAGGCGATGCATCGGCGACGTGGGCGATGGATCGGCGACGTCGACGAGAAGCAAATCGGGCTCCGCATCGAACCGCATCGGCGATGCATCGGCGATGCGGCGCGATCCTCCGACCCCATCTACCCCGACCCCATCTGTCGGCGGTGGACAAACCTCCCTTTAGTAGACGACCCTTTAATGAAAACGGCATAGGACCGAAACCGAAGGACCTGAACCCGCAAAAAATGAAGGCCGCGACGCCCCCTCGCGAACCGAAAAAGGCCAATTCGCTAATCGACGCGTCATGGGTGGGAGGTCTATCATTAGGTCGGGCCTGTCCCCCTACAGGGGGATTTTGAACGAAAACTAAAAAATACTCAAAAAATGGCAACGAGATGCCCAGGAATACTCAAAACATAGTTCCCATACTATTCTTTACTATTTGAACATTCCCCCTGTAGAGGGACAGGCCCGACTCAAGTCTATCAACCTCCGACTCTCAACTGGCGCGGATCGTTCGACCTAGGAGGCTCAGAGCACTACCGCCCGCCGAAGCTGTACACCCCCCTCTCCAGGTTTGGACGCCCGAAATGGGTATGGAAAAGATGGGTACAATGCCCAACAGCAAATGTTGTCCCAAACCAACAGCGGCCGCTGTTGAGCAGGAGGCCTTCTGTCTCGAATGGACACAGGCCGCGGCGGTGCGGACAGCGAGTCCTGCTCAAAATGAACAGGAACTGCTGTTGAGCATTGTACCCATTCTTTCCGCGCCCAAGCTGTATACCCCCCTCTCCCGGGGCCGGCTCTTCCTCGAGAAGAGCTGTATGCCCCCCTCTCCCGGGGCCCCCTCTCTCGGGCCCCCCCTTTTCGCTGTATGCCCCCCTCTCCCGGGGCCCCCTCTCTCGGGCCCTCTCCCGGGGCCTGCTCTTCCTCCCGAGACCGTTCCCGGCGACGGCCCCGGGGCGCGGCAAAACGCCCTGCAAGGGCCGAGCGCGGCCAAACACCGGCCGTCGCGATCTCTCCCTCGCTCTCTCTCTCTCTCTCTCTCTCTCTCTCTTTCTCTCCCTATTGTTCTTGTTTGTTTCTCTCTTTGTTTCTCTCTCTCTCTCTCGCTCTCTGTCTCTCTCACGTTTTCCATCTCTCTCTCTCTTTCTCTCTGGGTGTGTATTGATTATGTACTCTCCATGTGCACATATACATATACATATATACACATATACATATACATACATATATACATATATATATATGATATATACACATACATACATACATACATACATACATACATACATACATACATACATACATACATACATACATACATACATGCATGCATACATACATACATACATACAAACATACATACATACATACATACATACATACATACATACAAATGAATACGAGACTGCAGTGGCGCTTCGCGCCATGCACCTTGGCTTTTGAAGATTGGTATGCAGGCGGAAATGGTAGGAAGGTCAAGCGGACACTTTAGCGATAACTCCTTGCTGTATTGTTTGGCATCGCCGCTATAATAATGTTGATCGCTATCCTTCCTCCATGTTTATTTTCCTCATGCTCGCCATACCTTGGGTATTCTCCCCATTCTCCTCAGCTCTGTCTGCGGAGGCTCCTCCTGGGAGAGCCTCTGGGGGCCTCACCAAAGTTCTCAGGCGTTCTTAAAGCCTTCTGGAGGCCTCCTCGGCGTGTTCTGGAGGCCTCTGGGGCTTCCTAAAGCCAACCTGCCTCGAACCGCAGCTCCCTGAACGCCCCAGTCACGATTTGGAATGCTTCGGAGGGTGTCCGCCATGGGGCTCTCTTAGGGCCATTTTGGACCCCTGTTGTGCCGTTGTGGGGCTCTTTTGGACTGCCTGGAAGCCCTTTCGGATGGTTGCGAGGCGATTATGGAGCCTCCCGGGCGACTTCGGACGCCCAGAAAACCGCTGTTTTGGAGCGTCGGGAAGCCGAAAAGAGGAGAACCCGAAATTCACCAGGAAGAAAAAACAATACATTACATCGATGATTATTCCCTCTTGGGGCCTTCTTGGGGGTGCTCTTGGAGGTCTCTTGGTTTCCCCCACCCCACCCCACCACCCCACGGCCTCTCCCAAACCTCCACCAGCTCCTTGCGCAGCCATCGCGCCCACCCGCGCACAACTCAATGTGCATCGACCAGGCTTTACAGACATCGTCTCGGCCAAAATGGCGCCATGGCGGGCTCGACGAAGGTGCAAGGAAAACCGGTAGGACGATTCGCTCAGGCACTGACGACAGGGACGGGGGGGGAGCGGAACAAGAGGGGCTACGCAATGCAATGCACGCCAGCTGCGCGCGGGCGGGGGGCCCAAGACAGGAGGGGGGGAGGAAGAGGGATATACAGATATATGGCCACAGGAATTTGCCGAATTGGAAAGCTGGCGACCTAAAAACCCTCAGGACCGCGGCCCGAAGACATCGCAGATGCCAGAATCCAGATCAGGCTCACGATGTAGCAAAAACTCTCGGCGAACGCGGTGCCGATGCGATCGAAGCGCCCGAGGGCAAGCGACTCCTCCTCGGATGAGCGGCACTGCTTGCGGCGGCCTCAGCCCACATCCACACCGCACCGAGCGCGCGGCATCAGGCAGCTAGCGGCAGCTAGCGGCAAGCCGCTGCTGACGCGCGCGTGCACTAGCTGCTGGATATAGAGGTGGCTGCCTGGCCGTATGCCACGCCATTGAGAATGGCCTGGCGGCTCCTCTGGACGACCCCCTCCCGGTGGTACTGCGCGGCACGCCCTCCACGTACTGCAAGAGGCTGGAGAGGTCCACCCCCGCTTCGGAGAGAGCCCGCACCTCAGCCAAGACCGCGAGGTATTCGGTGCTCCGCTGCGGGCAAGACGGTGCCCAGGTCAAACCCGAGAGGCGCGTGGGCGGGGCGGCGGGCGGCTGGGTCGGCTGCCCATGCGCCGCGCTGGCCTCGCGGGCTGCCGCGCCGGCGGCTGCAGCTCTGGAGGCGGGGACGTCGCCGGGCACGATCGCCGCGGCTGCACCGGCGGCTATGCCATCGCCCTGCTCCGCCGCCGAACCCTCCTCCACAGGCGGCTCATGACCTCGAGGGGGCTGAAGGGCAAGCCTCGCGGCCAGCCCGACGTCCTCGCTCTCGCCGTCCGTGGAGAGCTGGGTGCCGCCAAGCTCGGACGAGAGCTGCTCGTCCTCCTCGCGGCCATCTCCACTGCCGCTGGCATGAACCTCTGCCCCATCGCCCGAGGCAGGGGCCATAGCAGGTAGCAGCCATCGCCGCTGCGAAGCTTCACCATCTCCTGGCTGAGGATCCCCGTCATCTTGCCGAGGTGAAGGCTGTCGCCGCGGGTCATTCGCACGGCCAACCGCGACGGGAGGGCGGTCGGGTAGGGCGTCGTCGGGAAGGGTGTCGTGGGCGTCGGGGAGGGCGTGGGCGTCGGGAAAGGCGTAGGGAAGGGCGCGGTGGGGAAGGGCGTCGTGGGCGTCGGGGCGGGCGTTGGGAAGGGCGTAGTCGGGAAGGGCGTCGTGGGCGTCGGGGAGGGCGCGGGCGTCGGGAAGGGTTCTTGGAGGTCTCTTGGTACGTTTTGGAACGATCTTTCGGGGTACGACGGCTTCTAGGAGCGCTCTTGTGCTGTCCTGGGGTTCTCTGGGACGTCTCCGATGACCCCCCTGATCGCCCTAGGTGTGCTGCGAAGGCTTGGCAAAACGCCCTGCGAGGCCCGGGGGGCCGCTTCGAGGGCCGTCCCAAGGGTCC